GAGGGAAGGTAGGGTAGGGGTCGGTCTAGGAAAGATTGGAGGAACGGGGTGGAGGTGGTTTTGTGTGCGAGGGGCTTGGACTTCCAGCAAGCATGAGTGAGCATGTTAGATAGGAGCAAATGGAGACATATGGTTTTTAGGACTTAGGTTAGGATATGGGTAGGTTAGATTGTACTGATGGAGTGTAAGCAAGGTAACATTTATAAAGGGATTCAGGGAAACCGGCAGGCCAGACTTGATTCCTGGAGATGGGTAGTACAGTGCTGGCATTCTGAAGGAGGGGTGCTAATGTTGCAGTTTTATAACTGTAGTGTAAGCATGCTTTTACCAAGACAGTGATGGAGTGAATGATGAAAGTTTTTCTTTTTTGGCTACCCTGCCTTGGTGGGGAAAAGCCAATTTTTTTTTTTTTAACAAGTCGGCCGTCTCCCACTGAGGCAGGGTGACCCAAAAAGAAAGAAAATCCCCAAAAAGAAAATAGTTTCATCATCATTCAACACTTTCACCTCACTCACACATAATCACTGTTTTTGCAGAGGTGCTCAGAACACAACAGTTTAGAAGCATATACGTATACACAACATATCCCTCCAAACTGCTAATATCCCGAACCCCTCCTTTAGAGTGCAGGCATTGTACTTCCCATTTCCAGGACTCAAGTCCGGCTATACAAAAATAACCGGTTTCCCTGAATCCTTTTACTAAATATTACCCTGCTCACACTCCAACAGATCTTCAGAAACGGCCGATGTGTTAATAAAATAAAATAAATCATTTTCAAATTTCTCTTCTGGAGGAAGAAGTATTACTACAGTTTTGACTTTTTTTTTTTGGTACATACAAAACACAGTCACTGAGAACTCATTGCAGGCTTAACATATATGTACATTATTGATACAATGAACATCACTCAAGAAAGGTTCTTAATTTCAGCAAATGGGGCAACCTTCCCCATTCCTTGAATCCAATCAGATTACATTCCAGTTTTCAGGTGCTGAATTATCCTTATGGATTTAGAGATTCCCTGTGACTATAACATACCTGTGACTGAGTAGTTTGCAAGCTTACCTACCCTACCAGCCCAGACCTTGGTCAAGCTTCCTTGTCAAGTAATTATTCGACCAGACTGCTGCTGTTAATAACAATATTCTTCATGTGAGAGTATAAGTGACATAAATAGTACCACCATTATCATAATTTCTTTTGTTTTGCAAGTTTTCTCCTGTCAAGGCAGAGTGACCCAAAGAAATGAAAAAATTCACCATCATTCGCTAAATCGTTATCTTTCCAGAAGTGTGCTGACATCACAAATCAGGTTACTTTCTGACTGCAACATCCCCACTTCTCAAACTTGAAATACATAGAAAATGGGTCATCTTATGATTAAGATCCATGTCGGGAAACAATTTACCTATTTCCTGACAAAGAAAATAACTCTTTAGAGTGCAGGCACTGCCCCTCCCACCTCTATGATTCAATGCCTACATTGTCAAAGGCATATCATCCAACATAATTATTCCTATGTCTTAAATATTTGTTTTATCCAACATCATTATTCCTAAATCTATATTTGTCTTATGTTCTATGAGATGGTCTACCTGCATTCTGTATTCTGCACATATTTTAAGCTCTTTGTTCTTTTTATTTCTAAGCAGCAGAAATTTGTCACCACTGAACATCATTTTATTTTCAATTACGAATTCAGGTACAGGTGGGCTCCGATTTACAGCACTTTGCTTTTAGTGTTTTGCTTTACAATGTTTCACCAATGCAGTGGTTTTCAATTATACCCATTCTTCATTTATTCAAACTTCCTACAATAAATACAGTGGTCCCTCAATAATCGTCCATAATCCGTTCTGGAAGTGGGACTATTATCGAAATGGACGATTTACGAATCAATTTTCCCCATAAGAAATAATGTAAATTCAATTAATCCGTTCCTGACACCCAGAAGTATTAAAACAAAAAAATTTTTTACATGAAATATAGATGTAGTACATAAACAATACAGTGGCACATGATGAATTAAACATTAACAGAATAACACTTACCTTTATTGGCGATTCTTCTTTGTGTATGGAAGACTGGAGAAGGAGGCAGATTGGATGATTTACTGTTTGGAAGGGGAATCCCCTTCCATCAACACCTCGGGTACCAATTGCTTTTCTGGGGTTACTTCTCTTCTCTGTTTCTTAATGCCACTAGGACCACCTTAAGAGTCACTGGAGTCCTGGCTCGCAAAAAAACTGTCCAGAGAGCTCTGTTTCTGGCATCTCTTTAAAACTTCCCTAAAATGGGCCAAGACTCTGTCACTGAACAAGTTGCCGATATGGCTTGCAACATCCTTCTCTGGGTGATGTTTCTCCATAAATCTTTCCATCCTTCCCTTTTTCTTGGCTATGATGGAAGATATGGTTGTACGGGATTTGTTATACATCCTGGCCAGTTCACCCACACGTACGCCACTATCATATTGTTCAATGATGTTTTTCTTAAATTCAATCGTATTTCTCACCTTCTTTACCAAAGGCTTGGCACTAGGAGCTTTCTTTGGAGCCATGGTAGCTTATTTAGCACTTAAATAACTTGCAAGCACTAAAATAAATGGAATATTATGAAATATTTCACTGGAGCACGTGAGGGGACTGTCGCTCACTGGTAAACAATGGCACACTGGCTGGGAAGGAAAGGCCGAGGCGGCTCAGAGCGTGAGTACGCGTCCGGGGTGAAGGACTATTATCGAGTTACCGGACCATTTGCGAGCCAATATTTTGACGAATAGACAGGACTATTTCCAAAATGGGCGACTTTCAGGCCGGACGATTATTGAGGGACCACTGTACATGTATATTCACCACTCGCTATAAGCTAAGGATGAAAATATTTAAAGGTAAGCAAAGTGTATACTGTATATGCATTTTTTAGGCCTAGTTCTATTGCTCACTGCCCCTCACCAACATCAAGGAAACTTGACCCCTCAAGGAAGGTTCCTTGATGTTGGTGAGGGGCTCTTGATTTAGGGAATTGGATCTGTGCTCCAGTTCCCCGAATTAATCCTGAATACCTTCCACATCCCCCCCCCCCAGGCGCTGTATAATCCTCCGGGTTTAGCGCTTCCCCCTTGATTATAATAATAATAATATTGCTCACTTAATATATGATAATGTAAACATGTTATCAGGCTTTTATATGCATTGAAAGTGAAAAAGAAAAAGGTTTTGTTTCACTTTACAGCAATTTTTGCTTTACAGAGGCAGCCTGGAACTTAGCCTGCTGTATAAGTGGGGTCCTCCTGTATATAGTGTACCTGCATTTTCCAACATGGAGAACATGAAAGACAGTCAAAGAACAGTCTTTACATACAAAAAATATCAGATATATAGGACACAGGCAAACATACAAACAAGATTCATACCTGGTTCATTAAGTTTAGCAATAAGTAATAACAATGGTAGTACAGTAAATCCTTGATATAACAGACTTGTAAAATTATGGGCAAAAATCCACTTGGTAAATCTTATTTTTAACTTATTTATTTTCAATGTTTATTGTAGTAGATCTGTAAATCAAGTGTACAGTATTATATTATATGTGCTGCTTTTTTTCTAATTCTGAGTTAACAGACACTCAAACGATAATCCCCTATTAGTCCATTATATCAAGGGCTTACTGTAGCAGAAATAGCAGTAGCAGACATAGTGGTTTAGTAGAATTAGTAATACAAATAACAGCTGCAGTATGTTATTATTATTATGAGTAGTAGTAATAGCAGTAGAAGTAGAAACAGTAATATAATAAAAATAGAAGTGGTAGAAGTAGTCACAGAAATAGTAGTAGCAGTAGAAGCAGTGGCAGCGGCTGCAGTAGTTAACTCACTCTCTAGCATATGTCTCCAAGGGGATCACAAAAAACAAAGAACAGAGGAGCACTGCAGTAGGCTTAATGGCCAAAGCTAGGAGAGAAAGAAGCAAGTAAGGAGAAAGTTAGGAGACAGAAAAGATAAAGGAATAACAGAAGACAGGTCAAAAGAAAGGTAGGAGGTTGGTAGACAGCAACCACCCAGGGGGGTACTACCGTCCTGCCAAGTGAGTGTGAAACGAAAGCCTGTAATTGTCTTACATGATGGTAGGATTGCTGGCGTCCTTTTTTCTGTCTCATGAACACGCAAGATTTCAGGTACGTCTTGCTACTTGTACTTACACTTAGGTCACACTACACATACATGTACAAGCATACATATACACACCCCTCTGGGTTTTATTCTATTTTCTTTCTAGTTCTTATTCTTGTTTATTTCCTCTTATCTCCATGGGAAAGTGGAACAGAATTCTTCCTCCGTAAGCCATGCGTGTTGTAAGAGGCAACTAAAATGCCGGGAGCAAGGGGCTAGTAACCCCTTCTCCTGTATAAATTACTAAATTTAAAAAGAGAAACTTTCATTTTTCTTTTTGGGCCACCCTGCCTCGGTGGGATACGGCCGGTTTGTTGAAAGAAAGAAAAGGTCAAAAGAAAAGAGGAGAGAGGATGAAAGGCAAACATCATGTCAAATATGAAATGCTATAAAGATCAGAGCATTTGACAATGTTCTGAGAAAGGCAGCTCTAGACATAATCTTGAGCAATAACTGTAGCTTTAGAGAGGTCTGGGAAGCTGCAACTGATCAGACTGTGTAGAGTTTATGGGGTACTGAGGGGTCCTCTGACCCCAATTAAGGTTTGCCAGCATTAATACATTCTTTATGGTTATCAGTACACTTAAAACTGCACTTCCCATCTGCTTGGATAAAAAAAAAAAAAAAAAAATAAAAAATAAAAAAGACGAACTCAACTGTCTAAAGATGAATATTTGGATGGTAATTTACATTATTTGTCCAAATTTTGGACAGGGTCAGCTTCAAGCCTAGGTTATTTAACATGCATTTGGTCTTTTAAACCATCTCAATAGTTCCAGGATTCTCCAGTTATAGAAGTACATATCAACACTTTACAGTGTCTTACCTGTTTCCCAAGCATTATCTTCCTCATCAGACAGCTCATTAAAAACAGGCTCGAACTCTGGTGCAGAGGGATTGAGTGACATGTCAGGAATCTGAAAAATTAATATAACAAATTTCTTTGTATTTTCAAGAAAACTCTTTAAATGTTTTAAATCAATACTTTACATAATGCTATTGATATACAGTACTACATTAGTTTGTTGAGTTTGTATTATACAAAAGTACAGTGGTACCTCGGGATACAAACAGCTCAAAACTCGAACAATTATGTAAGTGTATTTATGTAAGTGCTTTTGTGAGTGTATTTTTGGGATCTGAAATGGATTAATCTAATTTACATTATTCCTCATGGGAACAAATTCATTCGGTATCGGCACTCGAACAGCCTTCTGGAATTTTTAGGAAATTTTAAAAATGTTTTTATTATTTCTTTTATCTATAGTAACTATCTAAAAAAGCCCATATATTTTTGGCCATGTATAGTAAAAATGTATGTATTTTGAAAGTGGTAAGTTACTAAATGCTGTAAAGAGTTTTTATGAGGATAGTGAGGCTCAGGTTAGGGTGTGTAGAAGAGAGGGAGACTACTTCCCGGTAAAAGTAGGTCTTAGACAGGGATGTGTAATGTCACCATGGTTGTTTAATATATTTATAGATGGGGTTGTAAAAGAAGTAAATGCAAGGATGTTCGGGAGAGGGGTGGGATTAAATTATGGGGAATCAAATTCAAAATGGGAAGTGACACAGTTACTTTTTGCTGATGATACTGTGCTTATGGGAGATTCTAAAGAAAAATTGCAAAGGTTAGTGGATGAGTTTGGGAATGTGTGTAAAGGTAGAAAGTTGAACGTGAACATAGAAAAGAGTAAGGTGATGAAGGTATCAAATGATTTAGATAAAGAAAAATTGGATATCAAATTGGGGAGGAGGAGTATAGAAGAGTGAATGTTTTCAGATACTTGGGAGTTGATGTGTCGGCAGATGGATTTATGAAGGATGAGGTTAATCAAAGAATTGATGAGGGAAAAAAAGGTGAGTGGCGCGTTGAGGTATATGTGGAGTCAAAAAACGTTATCTATGGAGGCAAAGAAGGGAATGTATGAAAGTATAGTAGTACCAACACTCTTATATGGATGTGAAGCTTGGGTGGTAAATGCAGCAGCGAGGAGACGGTTGGAGGCAGTGGAGATGTCCTGTCTAAGGGCAATGTGTGGTGTAAATATTATGCAGAAAATTTGGAGTGTGGAAATTAGGAAAAGGTGTGGAGTTAATAAAAGTATTAGTCAGAGGGCAGAAGAGGGGTTGTTGAGGTGGTTTGGTCATTTAGAGAGAATGGATCAAAGTAGAATGACATGGCAAGCATATAAATCTATAGGGGAAGGAAGGCGGGGTAGGGGTCGTCCTCAAAAGAGCTGGAGAGAGGGGGTAAAAGAGGTTTTGTGAGAGGCTTGGACTTCCAGCAAGCGTGCGTGAGCGCGTTAGATAGGAGTGAATGGAGACGAATGGTACTTGGGACCTGACGATCTGTTGGAGTGTGAGCAGGGTAATATTTAGTGAAAGGATTCAGGGAAACCGGTTATTTTCATATAGTCGGACTTGAATCCTGGAAATGGGAAGTACAATGCCTGCACTTTAAAGGAGGGGTTTGGGATATTGGCAGTTTGGAGGGATATGTTGTGTATCTTTATACGTATATGCTTCTAAACTGTTGTATTCTGAGCACCTCTACAAAAACAGTGATAATGTGTGAGTGTGGTGAAAGTGTTGAATGATGATGAAAGTATTTTCTTTTTGGGGATTTTCTTTCTTTTTTGGGTCACCCTGCCTCGGTGGGTCACCCTGCCTCGGTGGGAGACGGCTGACTTGTTGAAAAAAAAAAAAAATTGAAAGTATTACAGGGTTGAAGTTGCACCTGTTAGAAAGGTCATGTAGATATTTTAAGTGTATTTAAAATATAAGGAATACAAGATAACAAAAAACTTATAAACAATAATATAATGACATTAAGGTGTGGTATATTTACATAATTTAGTCCAAAAATATAGAAACAAGATTCACATTAAAATTTCATATGATCAGCATTAAAATGCTATGAAACCAGAGATATTAATCCTGTGAATACAGTGTGTATTCTTTTTGTTATTTATGTATGAGGGGTGTTGATATGTTTTTTTTTTTTTTTTAGCTGTAGGGGTAGGGATGCTGTATTTGCATGGTAATGTCAACACAATTCTGACATGTCTGTGAATGAATGAATTTGTTTTTTTGTGGTGGTGGGGAGGGGGGGGGGGGTTGTGTCTAACTTTTTATTACTGGGAGATGGCTGAGTATAAAAGTTACATTTTGAAAGTAACTACATACTGTAGAATTCTACCCTAATTATGAAAAAATATCATGTATAAATCCAATACTGCACAACCTGTACATTTTTTTTTTTTTTAACAAACCAGCCACATCCCACCAAGGCAGGGTGACCTTAAAAGAAAAACAAAAGCTTTTCTTTTTAAATTTAGTAATATAACCTGTATGTACATCCAGAAAATTAAACTATATTTTGTCATACTGTATATTTATTAGCATGGAGAAGAATGATGCTAATGACAACAATAACAACAATAATAATAACAAAAATAATAATGGAGCAAACAGAATGACTTCAAGAGTGTATCAGTCTGTAGTGGAAGGAAGGCGGGGTAGGGGTTGGCCTAGGAAAGGTTGGAGGGAGGGGGTAAAGGAGGTTTTGTGTGCGAGGGGCTTGGACTTCCAGCAGGCATGCGTGAGTGTGTTTGATAGGAGTGAATGGAGATAAATGGTTTTTAATACTTGACGTGCTGTTGGAGTGTGAGCAAAAGTAACATTTATGAAGGGATTCAGGGAAACCGGCAGGCCGGACTTGAGTCCTGGAGATGGGAAGTACAGTGCCTGCACTCTGAAGGAGGGGTGTTAATGTTGCAGTTTAAAAACTGTAGTGTAAAGCACCCTTCTGGCAAGACAGTGATGGAGTGAATGATGGTGAAAGTTTTTCTTTTTCGGGCCACCCTGCCTTGGTGGGAATCGGCCAGTGTGATAATAGTAATAATAAAAAAATAATAATAATAATAATAATGGTATAATGCAGAGAATGTATACATTAGAAGAAAAAAGAAAAACACTCGATATTACTTATGGGAACTTACCGTACATTCGCCAAGCTCTTGTATACTATTATTGGTGAGGAAGCTAACAGGTGATATCCTGACTGAGGCTTTGGTTGCTGTCTTGTTTGCTTCCCCATAAAATATTTTGTTGGCAGAAAGAGTAGAATCTGAAGTACCTTTCGACACATAAGATACACCTGAACCTGCTAACTGAGAAGTTGACGAGGCAGACGAACAAGTGCTTTTCGTGTCTTCCAGAAGATGTGTAAATTTTTTTGCTTTTCGGCCATCACTACATAAAAGAAAAAAATTACAGTCATTAGATTCATTATGGGCTACATGTATTAGTAAGTGAAGAAAAAAATAAAATAAAATGCAAGTGGAAAAATAAAGTACAGTATAGTGTATATTTGTTGTGCTTTTTAAATCAAACTTGATGACTTAACTTATTTGGCCATTATTGCTTTGTTAAGTACCCTGAGCATAAATTCATCATTATGATAATAGTCTGTGAGGGGATTCGGGGAAACTGGTTCTTCAGGCTTGAGTCCTGGAGGTGGGAAAACAGTGCCTGCACTCTAAAGGAGGGATTTGGCATATTTGCTGTTAAGAGGGACATCTAAATTGTTGTATTTGCTCACTTACTGACAAGACAGTGATAGTTTGAATGATGGTGAAAGTGTTTCTCTTTCAGGTCACCATGCCTTGGTGGGAGACAGCCAGCACGTTGTTAAAAAAAATAATGAATATTTTATGTGCAAACCTATGTCCATTTACAATTTTGATAATCTCTGTATCTTGAAAAGTAATGACAAGTAGTGTTTATCCTTTGTTTGCGGGACAGACCACCATGATAAATACATGACTTAGAAACTATACAAGTGGCTGGAATGAATTCTCTAGTGAAATGATGCAAATGATAAATTTGCAATTATTTATAACTGCTGAAGCTGGTTTGCTTATTACATACCAGTAACATGTAAATTATAATAATTATTATTAGATTTATAATACTTATTAACCCTGTCAGGGTTTCCAACATATTAGTACGGCTTACAGAACAGGGTTATTGACGTACTAGAACACCTAAATTCTAGCGCCTTCAAATCTAGTGAGAGAAAGCTGTTAGGCCTACATATGAAAGAATGGGTCTATGTGGTCAGTGTGCACAGTATAAAAAAAATCCTGCAGCACACAGTGCATAATGAGAAAAAAAAAACTCCGACCGTGTTTTTGGATTAAAACAGCGACTTTGCAGTGTATTTTCACATGGTACTTATTGTTGTATTTTAGTTTTCCTGGTCTCATTTTATAGAATGGAGGACATATTACAGAAATTGAGATGATTTTGATTGGTTTCATAATGAAAAGTACCTTGAAATTAAGCTCAAAGTAGCAGAAATGTTCGATTTTTACCAAATTTCAAAAGTAAACAAATTATGCCAAGCGTCCAATACACGTCAACTGGTGAGTCTAATATTCTTTCACAAGTGCATTGATATTATTTATACCATTTCTACACTAATTCAGTAATCTGCATAACAGTAAATCTTCTATTTTTTATGAGAATAAAAATTCAAAGTGGAAAGTAAAAGAGATGTAAGAGGGGCCTGGGGACGTGACTAATGAACAGAGAAAATGTTATTTTAGTGTCAGGAATGTCTGTCTTGCTTATTCTGGACCCTATTTGGAAACTGGCATCTTCTGAAACTTGTGTGAAATTGGCAAAATTGCCAATCTCTGACAACTTTATTGGATACTTGAAATTGGTAAATGGGTGGTTTCTTGTATTCATTCGATAGAAAAAAAAATGGAGTTTTAGCGAAATAGATATGATTTTTGTCGACTAGTACACTGAAATTGGCTGAAAATAGGGCTCAAAGTGGGCGAAATCGCCGATGCGTAAACATCGTCGAGACCACTAACTTCACGAGAGCATAATTCCGCAAGTTTTTCATCAAATTTCATACTTTTGGTGTCATTATGATAGGGAAAAGATTCTCTTATCATTTCATAAGAATTTTTTTTTTTTTTTTCCAAAAAAATTTTTGACCCTGAGAACGAGTTTAGGAGAGGGCCTCTCAACCCTGAAAGGGTTAATCACTAAATTAATCTGGGAAACAGTTTTGAAAGAGGAGAGGGGGGGACGCGTTGTTCAAAGGTTACTTGACTGGTACCACAGCACTGAAACCACCACTTGCCAACAACCCAAATAATGTAAAGTACAGGCTGATAGCCTGAGTTTTTTTTTTTTTTTTTTTTTTTTTGGGGGGGGGGGGGGATTATTGTCAGAAAATACATTGAGTGGAATAAGAAGCAAACTCCATACAGGAGTGCAAAAAATAGAAATGACAAGGCCCAATCATGTCAATAACTCTGAGGTAAGTGGTGGGACCAAGAGCTTGAGCTCACCCTCTGCAAACCCAAAAAAGTAAAGGGTAACTGCAAAAAGATAGACTTATTTGCTCATAATAACTGCATCCAATCCTTGGATAACACAGATGCACCTACCTGTATTTTGTAAGATATCTTGAGTTGATCATTCGGTCCTTGATTTCACTGCAGACCAATTCTTGAGCATTGACTACGTGGTCTCCAACACAGATAACATCATCAATCATAGCAAATTTAATAGACTGCATGAGAAACTCCTTAATTCCTCCACACTGGTTAACATAAGTGCTTGCCTCTAAAGGGAAGCTTTCTGAAACTTGCTCTCTTAGACGAGCGTCATTGATAGACATAGGACCCTCTGACTTCAACCAATCGTACATGAAACTGTAATGAAAGTAAGTGAGTTAACTTACACCTATGAACACGAACTATTTTTTAAAAGCACTAGTTGTTTCTATAATTTAGTTAAGTAAAACTAATATCTTATATTCTATTATATCTGTCATGAGACCTGACACCTCGCAAGTTGAACAGAAAGCTTTGTCACATCTTAAGTAAATAGTAACATACCCACACAATGAATAGTTTAAATGTGTGAAACCTATTTTAATAACTGGAGAGGAATTCTGATGTGACCCATGACAAGACTGACTAGAAGCCCTAGATCAATACCACTTGTTGCCAAATAAGTGACAATTTAAATAGGGTACTGTTTATCAAAGAAAATACAAAAACAAAAGCTATCACAAAGCCTATATGGCTTCAAATCATAGCCAAAGTGTCAGAAATGGCATGCTTACATATATAACTAATGCCACTACATTTTTACCTGACTTGGTTTATATCCTTGACATTACTGGTGTGAAAATTGCTAACTCCACTAATATGAACCAAAACACTGTCGTAATTTCTTTCTCCTATGTGCGGGTTATTTGTGTACATGTACAAGTTAGACAAAATCCAAAAACAAGTTACAAAATGGTTCACATAGCTAACAAATATGAAAGTTAAAAGTATTAGGTATGACCTCATTTGCTGACAAAAATTAGTCATGATAATCACATGCCTCTGACATTTTTATATTACAGGTCCACATCCCTTTATCCGAAATTCTGAAATTTGAAAAGTTCCGAAAACTGAAGTTTTTTCGTGGAGTGTGGAGCACGAGTCATCTCTGTGTTAGGTCACACCTCCACATGGCAGCATTGAGAATCATTCTGAAATTCGAAACAATACAGGCCTCAAGGGTTTCGGATAAAGGGATGTGCACCTGTATTATCATTGGCTTTGGCTACATCAAATGCACTTATCTCTGGTATATGACTGTTTGGTATAGGTGTGGTGAGTTCTTATACTTCTGGTACAATTTGTAAAGAAATGTGGCTTTTATTTTCACAGAGCTGACATATACCAAGTGTGCACCAGTTGATAAACCTTGCTACATCCAAGTCAGCCCAGCAAGTGCATATTAACCCTTCCCACAATCTTCCAATGTTTCAAGCAATGACTAACAGTGGTGATGAACTGTAGTAATTTTTACCCAGTAGAATAAAATTTTATTGTCAAATTTGGAGATTCTGTAATGTAACCCTATTTTTTTTGTACATGGTTCACTTCACCTAACTAATTTCTATTAGGCATTAATTTTCTAGAAAGTATCTAACGTATTACAAAAGGGTTTACTGTAATAAAGGATGCTCAGCCAATCAAAATTTATTTCTTGCATATATCCTCTGTACTTACTCTAGAAGAGTATTAATAGTTTCTTGTTGAAGATTTGGAGAAGTTGTTTGCATCATACTGGTTTGTAGAATACATTCTAATTCCTGTGGGTTGTCTCTCAGGTGTTGAGGCATGTAGAAAGGATTCTCTGGATCAAGCTGTCAATCACAGGAAATAAAATGCTTATAAAACTGCATTTTCAATAATGAAAGTGCATTTTTGCATCAGGTGTCATGGGTAAGTATTTTGAATAGACAACACACACAAGTAAATTATTGACTGCTTAAACAATTATGGATTAAGGTACAGTAGTGAAGTACAGTAATAAATAAATCACTATTTGGTAGCCCTCTCAATCTTCAGTCAAAATAGACATGAACACTTGAGTTTTTGCACTAAGGTATTACCACGAGGCCTGGTCACAGACTGGGCCGCAGGGACATTGATCCCCGAAACCCTCTCCAGGTATTAATAATCATGTCATCCAAAGGCTGATAAAGATTAAGTGTAAAGATGATACTAACTTACTGATAGAAGAATAAGAATATGCAAACACAGGCAGAGAAAGTATGACTGAATTTGGATTTTATCTTTCTTAGTTGTTTTACACGTTTTATTTCATACATAATTTAAACAAAGCTTATTATTTTTTTTTATTAACACATCAGCCGATTCCCACCAAGGCATGGTGGCCCGAAAAAGAAAAACTTTCATCATCATTCACTCCATCACTGTCTTGCTAGAGGCATGCTTACACTACAGTTATAAAACTGCAACATTAACACTCCTCCTTCATGTAAATGAAAACAAACAGTACTGTGTAAAATGAGTGTAATACAGTGGAACCTCGGTACTTGAACTTAATTCGTTCCAGAAGGCTGTTCGATTGCTGATCTGTTCAAGTACGGAACGAATTTTTCCCCACCAATTTTCTTTCTGGTTGGCTGTTTATCTCTAATCTTTGTAGGCCCCATGGTGACTTATTTTAATGCTAAAGAGGGTAAAAATGTTGTGGAGGGAGTAGTAGGTAAATTTGGGGTGCCAGGGGTAAATGAAAATGGGGAGCCTTTAATTGAGCTATGTGTAGAAAGAGGTTTGGTAATAAGTAATACATATTTTATGAAAAAAAAAAAAGAATAAATAAATATACAAGGTATGATGTAGCACGTAATGAAAGTAGTTTGTTAGATTATGTATTGGTGGATAAACGGTTGATGGGTAGGCTCCAGGATGTACATGTTTATAGAGGGGCAACTGATATATCGGATCACTATCTAGTTGTAGCTAAAGTTAGAGCAAGAGGTAGATGGAATAGGAGGAAAATGGCAACAATCAGTAGGAGGGAGGTGAAAGTGTATAAACTAAGGGAGGAGGAAGTTCGGGCGAAATATAAGCAACTATTGGCAGAAAGGTGGGCTGGTGCAGATATGAGGATTGGGGGGGGGGGGGGGGGGGGGTTGAAGAGGATTGGAATGGTTTTAAAAATGCAGTATTAGAATGGGGCAGAAGTTTGCAGTTATAGGAGGGTGGGTGCAGGAGGAAAGAGGAGTGATTGGTGGAATGATGAAGTAAAGGGTGTGATAAAAGAGAAAAAGGTAGCTTATGAGAGGTATTTACAAAGCAGAAGCATTATAAGAAGAGTAGAGTATATGGAGAGTAAAAGAAAGGTGAAGAGAGTGGTGAGAGAGTGCCAAAGGAGAGTGGATGATAGAGTGGGAGAGGCACTGTCAAGAAATTTTAATGAAAATAAGAAAAATTTTTGGAATTAAACAAGTTAAGAAAGCCTAGGGAACAAATGGATATGTCAGTTAAAAACAGAGTAGGGGAGATAGTAGATGGGGAGGTGGAGGTTTTGGGTAGATGGCGAGAATATTTTCAGGAACTTTTAAATGTTGAGGAAGAAAGGGAGGCGGTAATTTGATGCACTGGCCAGGGAGGTATACCATCTTTTAGGAGTGAAGAAGAGCAGAATGTGAGTGTGGGGGAGGTGCGTGAGGCATTACGTAGAATGAAAGGGGGTAAAGCAGCTGGAACTGATGGGATCATGACAGAAATGTTAAAAGCAGGGGGGACATAGTGTTGGAGTGGTTGGTATTTTTGTTTAATATACGTATGAAAGAGAGGAAGGTACCTAGTAATTGGCGGAGAGCATGTATAGTCCCTTTATATAAAGGGAAGGGGGACAAAAGAGATTGTAAAAATTACAGAGGAATAAGTTTACTGAGTATACCAGGAAAAGTGTACGGTAGGGTTATTATTGAAAGAATTAAAGGTAAGACAGAATGTAGAATTGTGGATGAGCAAGGAGGTTTCAGAGTGGGTAGGGGATGTGTAGATCAAGTGTTTACATTGAAGCATATATGTGAGCAGTATTTAGATAAAGGTAGGGAAGTTTTTATTGCATTTATGGATTTAGAAAAGGCATATGATAGAGTGGATAGGGAAGCAATGTGGCAGATGTTGCAAGTATATGGAATAGGTGGTCAGTTACTAAATGCTGTAAAGAGTTTTTATGAGGAGAGTGAGGCTCAGTTTAGGGTGTGTAGAAGAGAGGGAGACTACTTCCCAGTAAAAGTAGGTCTTAGACAGGGATGTGTAATGTCACCATGGTTGTTTAATATATTTATAGATGGGGTTGTAAGAGAAGTAAATGCTAGGGTGTTCGGGAGAGGGGTGGGATTAAATTATGGGGAATTAAATACAAAATGGGAAGCGACAGTTACTTTTTGCTGATGATACTGTGCTTATGGGAGATTCTAAAGAAAAATTGCCAAGGTTAGTGGACGAATTTGGGTGTGTGTGTAAAGGTAGAAAGATGAAAGTGAACATAGAAAAGAGTAAGGTTATGAGAGTATCAAATGATTTAGATAAAGAAAAATTGGATATCAAACTGGGGAGGAGTATGTAAGAAGTGAATGTTTTCAGGTATTTGGGAGTTGATGTGTCAGCTGATGGATTTATGAAGGATGAGGTTAATCATAGAATTAATGAAGGAAAAAAGGTGAGTGGTGCATTGAGATATATGTGGAGGCAAAAAATGTTATCTATGGAGGCAAAGAAGGGAATGTATGAAAGTATAGTAATACCAACACTCTTATATGGGTGTGAAGCTTGGGTTGTAAATGCTGCAGCGAGGAGGCGGTTGGCAGCAGTGGAGATGTCCTGTCTAAGGGCAATGTGTGGTGTAAATATTATGCAGAAAATACGGAGTGTGGAAATTAGGAGAAGGTGTGGAGTTAATGAAAGTATTAGTCAGAGGACTGAAGAGGGTTTGTTGAGGTGGTTTGGTCATTTAGAGAGAATGGATCAAAGTAGAATGACATGGAGAGCGTATAAATCTGAAGGGGAAGGAAGGCGGGGTAGGGGTCGTCCTCGAAAAGGTTGGAGGGAGGGGGTAAAGGAGGTGTTGTGGCCGAGGGGTTTGGACTTCCAACAAGCTTGCGTGAGTGTGTTAGATAGGAGTGAATAGAGACAAATGGTATTTGGGACCTGACGATCTGTTGGAGTGTGAGCAGGGTAATATTTAGTGAAGGGATTCAGGGAAACCGGTTATTTTATATAACCGGACTTGACTCCTGGAAATGGAAAGTACAATGCCTGCACTCTAAAGGAGGGGTTTGGGATATTGGCAGTTTGGAGGGATATATTGTGTATTTTTTATACATATATACTTCTAAACTGTTGTATCCTGGGCACCTCTGCAAAAACAGTGATTATGTGTGTGAGGTGAAAGTGTTGAATGATGATGAAAGTATTTTTTGGGGGGATTTTCTTTCTTTTTGGGTCACCCTGCCTTGGTGGGAGAAGGCCGACTTGTTGAAAAAAAAAAATATATATATATACATAAATGCGAAGAAACACAAAATAGAATACAGCGAAGTTCTGGTAAGTCATATTTGTTTGGTTGCGTGCTCAAGAAAACGGTCAACTACCGAGCAATTTTTTTACGGAACAAAGCATTCGAATACCAAATTGTTTGAGTAAGGAGCTCTTCGAGTACCAAGGTTCCACTGTATTCTTATTAAAAATTATATTAAATTAGATACAAAATATTATGACTCAGGAACACATCTCTAATTACATGGGTGTCTAGAGTAAAAATAGGTTCAAAGTACAGTGGACCCCCGGTTAACGAACTTTTTTCATTCCAGTAGTATGTTCAGGTGCCAGTACTGACCGAATATTTTCCCATAAGGAATATTGTGAAGTAGATTAGTCAATTTCAGACCCCCAAACATACACGTACAAACGCACTTACATAAATACACTTACATAATTGGTCGCATTTGGAGGTGATCGTTATGCGGGGGTCCACTGTACATGTACTGAACAACCGACTAACAATTTTCACGAATGCATTCATGTCATAAGTAAGGGGTAACCTGCTGTATAATGTTATGCACAAATGACTAGGATAAATATGGATGAAACCATATAAAAGAATGTGCATTCAAGTAATATGAAATGTAAATAAGGTATCTGACAACCTTCCACATAATCACGTATCATCACAAGTCAGCATGCAGCCACATACTGCCTTTAATTAAAACTTCTCCTTTTCTTCTCATAAGTTTATATAAGAGGGATTATGTGTTTTGTGAAAACTCAGCACTATTGGCATGGCTAGATACACAAATCACTATTCAAATGGTTAAGGACTGTGAGAGATAATGTAATTACTGAAACTATTTACCTAATTGAAATCTGTGAGGCATATCTGTACACAAAAAGAAAAAGGACAATCAACAGACAGGTGAGCAGATTTAATACGAGTGAAAAAAAGGGGAGTGGTTTATTGAATTTTGTGCATTACTGGCGTAATATCCAGACCCCTGGAATTAATATTACTGCTGCTCCCAGTGTCAACTTTTAAAAATAAAAAAAAAAATAAAAAATATTATTTTGAAATGGTAGAGAATTTTTCTGGAAGTAATGACAAAAAACTGATGGAAAACTTAAGGAATTGTGGAAGCACAAAGTTAGTGGCCTGGGCCCAATTTACACCGGTGATTTCACCAACTTTGATTATTTTAAGCCATTGCTCTATTCGACCATAAAGTGTGAATTTTAGGGACAGCCAATCTCATTTTTTGCCAATACCAACACTCAGTTTTGGCCAATACTTACTGATACCAATGCTCAATTCTAGACCAATACCAACACCAGTAGTGAATTTTATATAAAAAATATAATTTCCTTACAGTTCTATGACTTTGTTCCCATATTTATGTATTTTTTTTTTCCAACAAACTGGCCATATCCCACCAAGGCAGGGTGGCGTAAAAAGAAAAACGAAAGTTTTTCTTTTTAGATTTAGTAATTTGTACAGGAGAAGGGGTTACTAGCCCCTTGCTCCCGGCATTTTAGTTGCCTCTTACAACACGCATGGCTTACGGAGGAAGAATTCTGTTCCACTTCCCCATGGAGATGAGAGGAAATAAACAAGAACAAGAACCCAGAGGGGTGTGTATATATATATGCTTGTACATGTACGTATAGTGTGACCTAAGTGTAAGTAGTAGTAGCAAGACGTACCTCGAATCATGCATGTTTATGAGACAGAAAAGAGACACCAGCAATCCTACCATCATTTGAAACAAATACAGGCTTTCATTTTACACAAACTTGGCAAAACAGTAGTACCTCCCTGGGCGGTTGCTGTTTACCAACCTACTACCTACAATATTTATGTCCTTTTCTTCTTTCAACAAACCGGCCGTATCCCACTGAGGCAGGGTGGCCCAAAAAGAAAAACAAAAGTTTCTCTTTTTAAATTTAGTAATTTATACAGGACAAGGGGTTACTAGCCCCTTGCTCCTGGCATTTTAGTTGCCTCTTACAACACACATGGCTTACAGAGGAAGAATTCTGTTCCACTTCCCCATGGAGATAAAAGGAAATAAACAAGAACAAGAACCAGAAAGAAAATAGAAGAAAACCCAGAGGGGTGTGTATATATATGCTTGTACATGTATGTGCAGTGTGACCTAAGTGTAAAAAGAAGTAATAAGACGTACCTGAAATCTTGCATGTTTATGAGACAGAAAAGAGACACCAGCAATCCTACCATCATGTAAAACAAATACAGGCTTTCGTTTTACACTCACTTGGCAGGACAGTAGTACCTCCCTGGGCGGTTGCTGTTTACCAACCTACTACCTACAATATTTATGTATATTATAAAATATATATGCTAAACTAATGAACATGGAAAAAATGAAGAAAAAGTAAAGGTTCAACATAATGGTAATTACTAAAATTCCTTCATGACTTGCCCCATTAAGCAAATAGCTTTGAAAAAATTAAAGCATTGTTAGAGAGAGAGAAAAAAAAATTTTTTTTACCATGCCGGCTGTTTCCCACAAAGGCAGAGTCACTCAAAAAAGAAACACTTTCACCATCATTCACACAAAACCTTCACATTATAAATTTAGAAACTTTCCATCTACCAGAGCTCACTTAATACTTAACACTATACCTCTCTGCATTACCATACATTCAATCAAATTACCACTTTCTAACCCTAAATACAATATTCACATTCACTTGCCACACATGTACTTAAATTAGTATTACAAGATAAATGGCCACTCATTTAGAAGTTCGAACTTTATACCGAAAACTGTTAGGGATGACTTAATTTGACAAGAAAGCATTACTGTTTTGAATAAAAACTAATAATTCTTTTCTACTGAGACTTTATTTTTTCCTGATAAGTCATATTTTAGTAAGGTAATTGACTCTTATAAAATATTTTTCTGCATATTCTATCATTCTTGTTTTTATTTGTTTCATTTTACTTTCCTATATTTCTTCATAACTTCTCTTGTATGCTTACTAAAGTAATATATGCATGACTGTAACACCACTTGGTTCTCAGAAGATGCAACTGGCCATATATACTGTACTTTCTTGTGCCACTAAATTACTCTTCCTACTTTCAACTACCATTACTATTTCTACTACTACTTCCACTACCAGCCTTACCACTACCTCTACTTCTTTTTCTTCCTCTCTTGATCCCATCCCTGTCCCCTTTGCCTATATATACTTTACCTGTATTATAGTTTATCCATCACTAATAATTATGATAGTTATTATCCAACCCTCATTCACACCAATACTCAATCTATTTCAGGTATGGCTACCAGATGTTGCTCGCTATGACTGATATCACCCAAGATATACTGAATGCTTCAAAATCCAGTTATCAGCCAAAACACAACACCTGGTGATGCAGCTGGTACTGGTACACACACAGTGCACACACACTGTACCCCCTCCACGGATGCCAAGCCAACAGAAGTAGCATTACTATATTTTTATTTTTATATTCACAGGAAAGCACTAAACTCTTACGATCATACAGCACCTGGGAAACAGGAGGTAATCAGCTTTGATCCAAGGTAAGGGAAACCAGTTTTAACCTTAATTCAAGAACACTTCACTAGCACAAGGCACCCCCTTGATGGGATGGATGTAATAAGTGACCATTTGGGGCACACAGCACTAAGAAGGACACGAGTCGACAAAACAGTGCATTCCAATGGTGGACAGTTTCATGTTTAACATTTTAAAGAATCACTGCAAAGTAACAAGGTTACCAAACCTGATAGCATGCAGGACAGGCAGCCAGAACAGAAAATGCAAGTTCAATGTACCAGGTAAAGCAAATGTACATCACTGAAAAAATAGTTTGAAAAGCAGCAAAGACTGCAATAAATCTTGATGGCAGTCAGAGAGCCTCAATGGACCCCAAGAGAAGAAGCATCCATAAAGAAAGGAAGTGTGCGATGTTGGAGAGAGAGAGAGAAAGAGGGTAGCAATAACTGGATTCTAGAGCATTCGGTCTCAGGCTTCACTGAAAATAACAAGTGAACAACATTTATGGACCTTGCTGGGGCCCACATATGTGTGAATGAGGTAAAGCATATTCCAGGTTGGTTCCCAGGGTCCCCAGAGAAGAAATACTATTTTACTAACCAGTTTCAGAGGATTTTCACTGGGTGTAACACCTGGTATGACCGGACTGGTAGCTTTTGGCAAGGATGTTAAATCTCCCTCTAAGGCTTCTCTCTGATGCCTAAGAACTCGTAATCGGGACAGATACTCATTTCTGAAAAAAAAAAAAAAAATCAGCATACAGTCAACATCAAATATATGCTATACAGTAAACCCTCTTACAATGTAAAATCACATGTGATTTTCTATTATAGTGGAACCTCAAAAATCGAACGTATCACATATTGAACGTTTCGAAAATAGGACCATTTTTTCGGACAAACTGTGTCCCTATTATCGAATGCGTCCCTATTTTCGGACCGCCAGGTATGGGACCTGTCTGTCGGCCCGCTCTGTCCGCATCCCCATGCATGCGCCGTGAGCAGTCTAGCTTTGTTTATGCTTGAGTGAACACTAACCTGCACTCTCATTCACGCATTTTACGATTATTTCGTTGTGTTTAGTGCTTGTGAGACTGTGAAATAAGCTGCCATGCGCCCAAAGAAACTTGCTAGTGGTACCCCTGTGGCAAAGAAAGTGAGAAACACCATAGATGTGAAGAAGGAAATAATACAGAAGTAAGAGAGTGGTGTGAGACTTGTTGAGCTTGCCAGGATGTATGGGAAATACAAGTCGACCATCGGTTCTATCCTGTCAAAGAAAGAACAAATCAAGGAAGCTGATATTGCGAAAGGTGTTAATATGCTAACCAAAAAAGGACCACAAATAGTTGAAGAGGTTGAGAAGTTGTTGCTGGTATGGATCAAGGATAGAGATTGCAGGTGATAGTGTTTCAGAGACGATTATTTGCAACAAGGCAAGGAAGTTGCATGCCGATCTGGTACAGAAAACTCCTGGAACCAGTGCTGATAGTGAATTTAAGGCCAGCAGAGGCTGGTTTGACAGATTTAAGAAGCGTAGTGGCATACACATGTTGTAAGACGTGGTGAGGCAGCCAGTTCAGACAAACGGGGGGCTGAGAAGTTTGTACAGGAGTTCAAGGGGTACATAGACAGTGAAGAATTGAAACCTGAACAAGTGTATAATTGTGACAAAACAGGCTTGTTTTGGAAGAAAATGCCAAAAAGGACCTTCATCACACAGGAGGAAAAGGCACTGCCAGGACACAAGCCTATGAAAGACAGGCTTACTCTTTTGTTCTGTGCTAATGCTAGTGGTGATTTTAAAGTGAAGCCTTTACTTGTGTATCATTCAGAAAATCCCAGAGTGTTTAAGAAAAACAATGTCTTTAAGAACAAGTTATGTATCTTGTGGAAAGCTAATCATAATGCATGGGTCACAAGACAAATTTTCAAAGAGTTGGTCCATGAAGTGTTTGGCCCCAGTGTGAAAAAATACCTCCAGGAAAAGAAATTGCCACTCAAGTGCCTCCTGCTAATGGACAATGCTCCTGCTCATCCTCCAAACTTACTAGACTTCTTGTCTAAGGACTTCAGTTTTATAAAAGTAAAGTTCTTGCCTCCTAACACCACTCCTCTCCTCCAGCCCATGGACCAGCAGGTCATTTCTAACTTCAAAAAACTCTACACAAAAGCAGTGTTTGAAAAGTGCTTTGAAGTGACCACAGACACTTAAGTTGACCCTAAGAGAGTTCTGGAGGAATCACTTCAACATTTACAGCTCCATAAGCCTTATAGGTAAGGCTTGGGAGGGAGTGACTTCCAGGACTTTGAACTCTGCTTGGAGACAATTGTGGCCAGATTGTGTCCAAAAGAGGGATTTTGAAGGGTTTGAGGCTGACCCTGACCCTGACCCAGCTCACCCTCTGCCTGTTGTGGACTCTATTGTGGCAGTGGGGAACACCCTGGGGTTGGAGGTGAGTGGTGAGGATGTGGAAGAGTTGGTGGAGGACCACAGGAGAGCTAACCACTGAAGAGCTGCAAAGCTTCATCTGGAGCAGTATCAGACCACAGCTGAGGAACTTGCTTCAGAGGAGGAGGAAGAAGAGGAGTGGATGAGGTGCTTCTTCAAAGATTAAGGAGATTTGTGCCAAGTGGAATGATGTCCAAATGTTTGTGCAGAAGTACCACCCTGAGCAAGCTGAAATAAGCCATCTTTGCAACAAGTTCAGTGACAGAACCATGTCCCATTTTAGGGAAATGTTAAAGAGGCGCCAGAAACAGAGAACTGTGGACAGTTATTTTGTGAGACAGGGGTCCAGTGACTCTCAAGCTGGTCCTAGTGGCATTAAAAGACAGAGAAGGGAAGTAACCCCAGAGAGGGCTTTACCTGAAGTCCTCATGGAGGGGGATTCTCCTTCCAAACACTAATCCAACTCCCTCTCTCCTCCTCCCTATCTTCCAGATGCCATCACCAATCTTCAATAAACGTAAGTAAAAATGTTATTTTATATGTATTACTATACATAATTAAAAACTATAATATTTGTTGTACGTAAAACTGTAATTAATCTCTATAAAATGTATTTTTTGTGTGAATATTTTTGGGTTTCTGGAACGGATTAATTGTATTTCCATTATTTCTTATGGGAAATATTGCTTCGAATTTCAGACTTTTCGAATTTAGAACTAGCTCCTGGAGCGGATTAAGTTCGATTTTTGAGATTCCACTGTAATGCATATTAATGATGTTACATGCCCTAAAAATTTAAAGAATCAGTACAGTACCAAGCTATATGCAAAAACTGGGAAATATGCACCATGGAATTTTTCGCAAGTCATTCCTGGTTATATTTTTATTATCCAAGAAATAGGGAAAATCTACTATGTTTGGCATGATTGTGAATTCAAAATGGAATACAAGTGTAATACAGAAGAGGCCTGGGGGCATGATTAATTAACAGAGGAAATGATGTTTTAGTGCCTGTAAAGTCTACATTGTTTACACTGAACTCTTATTTTGAAATTGGCATTTCTTTTTAATTTTGTTTAAAATTCACCAAATTACTGACTTTGGTGCACTTTATAGGGTAGCTGTAATTGTTGAATGGGCAGTTTCTTGTGTTCACTTGATAGAACAGAAAGCATACAAGCAAAATAACTAAGAGCAATGGAATTGGCCTAAAATAGGACTCAAATTGGGTAAAATTGTCAATGCATAAATTGCACCCAACCCACTAACTGTACACCTGCATAATTCCCTACATTTTCTATCATATTTCGTACTTTCGTACCTTCAGAAAAAGATTCTTTACCATACCAGATTTTTTTTTTTTAATTGAACAGTGCAAGGGTTAAGAGAATAGAAGAAAACTCAGATGAATGTACACATACACATACATGTACATCTGCATATGTAGCATGAACTAGATGTTAGTAGTAGTAGTATGTACCTATCATCTTGCATGTTCATGACACAAACAAAGACAACAGCAATCCTGCTGTGTGAAATAACAGTTTTCCATTTTACACTCATTTGGTAGAATGGTAGTACCTCTCTGGGTGGTTGCTGTCTACCGACCTACTACCACAGGACGGTAGTACCTCTCTGGGTGGTTGCTGTCTACCGACCTACTACCACAGGACGGTAGTACCTCTCTGGGTGGTTGCTGTCTACCGACCTACTACCACAGGACGGTAGTACCTCTCTGGGTGGTTGCTGTTACCGACCTACTACCAAGGATGGTAGTACCTTCTGGGTGGTTTGTCTACTGACCTACTACCACAAAACGGTAGTAACCTCTCTGGGTGTTGCTGTCTACCGACCTACTACACAGGACGGTAGTACCTCTCTGGGTGGTTGCTGTCTACCGACCTGCTACCACAGGACGGCAGTACCTCTCTGGGTGGTTGCTGTCTACCGACCTGCTACCACAGGACGCAGTACCTCTCTGGGTGTTGCTGTCTACCGACTACTACACAGACGGTAGTACCTTTTCTGGGTGGTTGCTGTCTCCGACCTGCTACCACAGGACGGAGTACCTCTCTGGGTGGTTGCTATCTACCGACCTACTACCACAGGACGGTAGTACTTTCTCTGGTGGTTGCTGTCTACGACCAAACTACCACAGGACGGTAGTAACCTCTCTGGTGGTTGCTGTCTACCGGACCTACTACCACAGGATGGTATACCTCTCTGGGTGGTTGCTGTCTACTGACCTACTTCACAGGACGGTAGTACCTCTCTGGGTGGTTTGCGGGTTACGACCTACTACCACAGGACGGTAGTACCTCTCTGGGTGGTTTGCTGTCTACCGACCTATTTACCACAGGACGGCAGTAACTCTCTGGGTGGTTGCTGTCTACCGACCTACTACCACAGACGGCAGTACCTCTCTGGGTGGTTGCTGTCTACCGACCTACTCCCAAACAGGATGGTAGTACCTCTCCTGGGTGGTTGCTGTCTACCGACCTACTACCACAGGACGGCAGTACCTCTGGGTGGTTGTGTCTACCGACCCTACTACCACAGGATGGCAGTACCTTCTGGGTGGTTGTGTCTACCGACCTACTACCACAGGACGCAGTACCTCTCTGGGTGGTTGCTGTTTACCGACCTTACTACCACAGGACAGTTAGTACCTCTCTGGTGGTTGCTGTTTACGACCTACCACCACAGGACGGCAGTCCCTCTCTGGGGGGTTGCGTCTACCGACCTACTACCACGGACGGTAGTACCTCTCTGGTGTTGCTGTCTACCGACCAACTACCACAGGACGGTAGTAACCTCTCTGGGTGTTTTGCTGTCTACCGGACCTACTACCACAGGACGGCAGTACCTCTCTGGGTGTTTGCTGTCTACCACCTACAACACAGGACGGGAGTAACCTTCTTGGGTGGTTGCTGTCTCCCGGACCTACTACCACAGGACGGTAGTACCTCTCTGGGTGGTTGCTGTCTACCGACCACTACCACAGGCGTAGTAGCTCCTGAGTGGTTCTGTCTACCGACCTACTACCACAGACGGTATACCTCTCTGGGTGGTTGTGTCTACCGACATACTACCACAGGAAGGTAGTAACCTCTCTGGGTGTTGCGTCTACCACCTATACCACAGGGACGGTAGTAACCTATCTGGGTGGTTGTTTGTCTACCGACTATCCACAGGACGGCAGTACCTCTTCGGGGGGTTTTGCTGTCTAACCGCCTACACCACAGGACGGCAGTACCCCCTTGGGTGGTTGCTGTCTACCGA